GTGTAAATGTTTAGAAGGAATGTGGCTTCACTGGATTTAAACAAGTGTCACTATGTTGGACTTGGTAGACTGAAAAGAATTGGTACCACTCTACCGATAAGATAAACCTTTATTAGTCCCACAACGGGAAATTCACACTATTACAGCAGCAGAAGGATAGAAACAGGAAATGAACTAGTATTAGAAATATAAATCTAATTGTAGTTATTCAGCCTGTGGGTGTGTGAGGTCGACTTGTCGGGGCAGGGTCTCCTGGGAGCAATGATGGTGGTAGAGTCCGACAGCAGAATGAAGGAAGGACCTGTGATAACGCTCTGTCGTGCACTTGGGTTGAAGCAGCCTGTCACTGATGGCGCTGCACTGGGTCAAGGGCCCTTCCCAGGACAGAGCTGGCCCTCTTGCTCAGTTTGTCTAGTCTTTTCCTGTGCATGGTGGAGGTGCTGCTGCCCCAGCAGACCACTGTGTCAAAGAAGGTCCTCAGGAGTTTCCTGTAATTTAGTTTCATATCACAGTCAATTAATGCTGAACCAAACTTAATTGGTTGATAGAATATATGACAATCAATCATTGTGTGTATTTATCAAGGAAAAAGCCTCGTGTTGTCTGTTCACAGCATGTTTACGGAGTTTTATAGTCTAAACACTCTACAAATTGACAGACTTTTTAAAATGAACATACCTGTTATTCAGCCTTATTGTCATTTATAACATCCAATCTCTTCCATCGTTGCAGGTGCTGTCCCACAACTTGTGCACAGTGATGAAGATCCCACATGACCCTGTGGCGCTGGAGGAGCACTTCAAAGATGACGACGAGGGTCCCGTCTCCAACCAGGGATACATGCCATACCTGAACAAGTTCATCCTGGATAAGGTCAGCCCACAACACCCACCCTACTGGAGTTAGAGCTGTGTAGCACAGTTGGAAACAGGTGGTGTACATTTTACATCCAGTCCAAGACACTGTGGTGGTCGAGCAAGTGAGAATAATTTGAATTCCAGATCAGTGGTGTGGGGTTAAAACAGGCAAGTGAACATTTTGGTGGTGTTGATAGAAAACCCTGTATTAATTCAGTGGATTCATAAAGTCGCTGTTCGAGTACAAGAGCCTTCAGGTAACAGTGAAATGAGCACAGTGGCTCGTTGTTGTCCCTGGAGCCTGTTTGCTTCATTACTTCATTGATTACCAGAATAGTTGCTACTTAATTTTGTGTTGCTCCACTAATCGATTTAGCTGCAGTCTCTGTAAAGGTAAAAGCCAGATTAGATGCAGTTTGGGAAGTTTTGGCAAGCAAACGTTTCCTGCTGCTGTAAAACACGGACCCTTTAATGACGCTTGAAGGGATTTAGTGCTATGAGGAACTCTTTTTTTTTTTTCTTCAAAGTTAACATGTTAGTTCCTCATTCCGTCTTTTGAAGGCTCTAGGATTTTCAAGAAAGTTGTGTGACGTGTTTTACGGCCACAGGCAGTGCATAACTTGTAAGATGCAGCAACTCACTCATAACAGGTAGTTTTTCTAGTTTTTCTTTCTTTAAATAGCTTTAAGGTTGGACAAAGCACCTTATCCTGCCCTGTCTGACAGCGTCTGATATGTTTATCAGCTTTTTCCAGCTCTTTATGATTTGAGTGAAGTTTGAAACATTCACACCCTGTTTTAGTAGCTGAACTTCTCTATCAAATTAAACTATTCTAGATACTTTGTGCATCAGTTTATGCACATTTCCCCAAATCCAGAGTTGCTCATTCGGTATCCCTGTGAAACTTGTAGATCTCTTCTAGAATTTAAAGTAGTGTGCTGTGGATTTGAGCTACATGTGGCTGCACAGTGTGAGTCTGTAACGAGCAACCCGCTGGTTGTTAACGTCACTGCAACCAGGAGACTTTTCTTTAAGCAAATATAAATGCTGAATTTAGGTTCAGGAAAAGAGACATGACATCATGGTCAAACATTATAACTCCCCCACATGCACGCTCGTACACAACCACCCCACCCAACTCCTGAAGTGGAGGTGGCTGGACCGTGGAGAGTGAGGGCGGCAGTCAGTACATTCAGTTGCTTCTACCCCTGAGGGAACTCCACACTCCACCCGGTCACACAAGGAAAGTGTGTGTGTGTGTGTGTGTGTGTGTGTGTGTGTGTGTGTGTGTTGTACCCAGAAAACCAAGACGGCCAGAATCCCATACACTAGTTACACCTGTGTTTGTGTGTGTACATTTAAGATAGGAAGTCTGAAGTGTGTGTGCATGGATGGAGTCAGGGGGCGTCTGCACAAAGCCTCTGTTTGAACGGCTTAATGTTTCTATGTGGAAAGTGAATGAAACCACTGGAAAGACATGGACAATGAAGAAAACACAACCTGACCTGAAAGACACAGAACAGCTACACAGACAAATCCATCACAAAGACAGCGACAAAGAGACACAACTCAGCTACAAAGTGAATCGTCTGTGTCATTGGCTCATAATCCATCAGTGTGTGTGACTCACTCCACTTGTCAGTAACAGCACAGCAGGAAATATTTCATCTCGTCTGTACAGAGATAGTCCCGGCTGTGTCAGCGTGGTGACTGTGAGGCTCAGTTACCCTGAACACTATTGCTTTAGCGTCAGAGACCGAGGTGACGTTGAAGCTCGAGTCTCAGCACTTTGTGGTTTGATGGAGCGTAGCGTTCCTCAGAAACACGTGACCCTCTGTGACCCTGTGTGTTAGAGAGAGAGAGAGAGAGAGAGAGACAGTAACGATGAATATCTTGGTGGACAGTTTTGTTAGCTCTAAGTTTTGCTCCTGTCCATGCTGACTATGACCAGACCTTTCTGTGATGCTGCTCTTAGTACAACATGCATGTCTTTGTCTTCTCATGCTGAGCTGCAGCAGATCAACAGTTTGTACTAAAAACAGGGTAAAATTATGAACTTGAATTTACAGACTCATAATTCTGAAATCATAACAGCTTCAGCAAAACTTAACACAACATACGCAGCTTTACAAACTATCTTGATAAGAGCATCAGACACTGACATAGCAGGCAGAATAAGTGTCATCGGTTCATCGTACATGTGCATTGAGGCCCGTCGTACTGTGGCAGCGCAGGAAAACCTGGTCTTACATTATATCAATACTCCCAAGTGCTCGGGATTCCAACTGATGAAACTTTCCATCATGTCGGGTAAGCCTTATATTCAGTTACTCCACAGTGTCTCCGTGCACATGCATGAGTATAAGATACATGCACTACCATCCTGTGTGCCACAGGTATTGGCACTGCTGACAGTTGTTGTTTCTGATACGTTAGGTTTGACTCCTTTTGATGCTTTAATAAAGAAATCAGAGATTCATTTTTGTGCCACCATGTTCCCGTTTACAATGAGCGAATAAGGCGGCAGCATGCGCCGCACCCCTACTTCCCACCGCCTCGCAGTGCGGGCCATGTTGCAGCTGATAAATGAACCTGTTGCTGTTCTGTGGTGGATGAACTGTAGAGTGTTGATACAGTTTCAGAACTGGTCTTCGGCATTTCTGTCATCTGTCCTCATTCACCTGTTGTTTGTTAGCTGACATTAACACAGATATGTCATTCCACCTCCACCAGGAACCTCCCGCACTCACACCAGCTGCCCGGCCCCAGTGCATGTTTCCATTACACAACTATTCTTGCAGAACACATCATTGTGGCATTTTGTGCATGACTGGAAAAGATATGAACTGTAGATACAACAGAGCAAACATGGAGTTGCCACATAGGTGTTGTATTGGCTTTCTTTTATTTCTTTATGCGCTGCCTTCTCCTCCTCCTCCTCCTATTAAAGATGGCGGGTCTCCTTTGGCTGAGGCACTTCCTGCTGTTCATGCTTTCTCTGCCAGTCAGGCTTGTAGTGACATAGATGTCCGAGTTGGGGGCAGTTAGTGCACTCTTGTTTCTGAGCAGGGCCATATTATGCTTATACCAAACCCTGCTTCACTCTACATGTTTTAAGATGGGCTTCAAAAAAATGTGAACCTGCCCTTTAATATCAGACTGCTGTGATCACTTTATTTCACTCTTTCTGTCTTGTTTCCTCATTTTCTCCATTGTTGGAGCTCACACTGTGGTCTGTGGTTTTGCTATGTAAAAATACATGTGTGTGATGCTTTTCTGCAGAGTTCAGCGTGGGTGAACGTTCAAGTGTGAATCCACTCGCAAATGATCACAACCATGTTGGCTTTTAAGGAAACAGAGAAACCTAGATGAAGCTTGTGTGTGTTGTCACACTTTCCAGAAATATAAAGCCTTGCTCTGCAGATAAGAAGCAACGCTATTAGAGCTTGTGATGGATTTTAAGAAATGGAAACATTAGGTTCACTGTGGGCGTTCTGGTGTGACCAGGCATTTATACGCAAGTGTAGAAAGTCAGAAGTGTCAGCAAACATCTGGAGTTCTGCCGTCCCTCCCAACACCTGCAGGTGATTATGGTAATATGTGCTTTGGAGCATTAAAAGCTCTAGTCTTCCTCTTTTTGAACCACTTTTATTTTTTATCATGTCTCCATTCTCCCTGTTGTTTTTCATTAAACTCTTTGCCTGTAGCTGACGATCCTGTTTAACTGGTAACTTTGTTTCTTCCAGTTTTGACGTCACCTGTTCTGTATCAGTGAGTTTCTGTGTGTTAGAAAAGCTGCTGCAGGTTTGGGATGCAGCAGATAAGGCTGGTTCCTGAATCCCAATGAACATTTGGAGGGGGAAGGGGAGGCAGCACTGACAAGGCTCTTATTGTTGAAGTGTAGAGGCTGAGAGGGAGTGAGCGCAGTGGACGCAGTGAGAGGAGCGAGAGAAGCAGCGAGCCGTGTGGACAGAAAAGCAGGTCGAGTGTGACACAACAGTGTTAGACAAAGAGCTGTTCTCTCTTAACAAACTCCACTTTCACAACTCTGCTACAGCTGCTTCCCTGTCTGTCCATCTTTGCCGAGCCGTTTACAACCACTAGTCTAAAGCAGCCACCTGAACACTACCTTCATCATCCTCACAGGAGAGACACACTCACGCTGCTGCTGAGTAATGACGGGATTTGGCTGTTTGATTAGAAAATAGTTTTGATGGCATGTTCCTCGTCGCGGCTGCATCCCAGCTTCGTGAACTCATTCGACCAGAGTCTATTTTTAGACCATTAAACACCTCCTGGGTGTTTGTCAGCATCACAAACTGCAGCATCATTCAGCTTCAGTTCATATCAGTTACACTGGATTCCAACTGTAACAAGTTTATATGGACCCTCATCAGATTTGACCTTATTTTTCTGGGTTTCAGATTAAAATAATATACACAATATAGTCAGCAAATGTTTCCACTTAGTTTACAAGCACTAAATATCTTCCTGCTATCTGAACCAGCCTAATGAAATCAAAAACAAACATATGACATGCAAAAGTATAACATGAAAATAATCCATTTTTAGGCATCTACATATGGAAAATAAAGTTAACTGTTTTTAGAATTATAAAGTATGGCAGGCTGTTCCACTGACATGTGGCTCTGTACACTCAGTGCAGGGCTCTGGGTGAACCGGCACAAGGAGACGTCTGCCCACCTGTTCCGTGAGACAGCTGTGGATAAAATATTAAAGACTAGGGCGTAACGATTTCCCAGATCCATGGTTCACTTCACCATTCGGTGAAAGAACTGGGAATTTCTGGGTTTTATTAAACCACCAACAATTTGGAGCAGATGCTGAACACTAAATAGAATAAAATTATTGTGATTTACATGTTATAGTGGTGATTGTGAAATGTTAAATTACTAATGTAAAGAGAGCTCAAAAGGCAGTGGCAGCTGTGGGTTAGGCTTTGGGGGGGGCGGGGGTAGAGGTTTCATTGTGGTTGTATTGTGGTTTTGGTACTGAACACAGGTACGGTGTGTTTAGTCCACAGAAACGTGTCAGTTCACCTCTGCACTGTGTCCACATCCCCGGTGTCAGGTGCAGAGTCTTCATGAGCAGTTCACCCGTCCACGTGCACGCCTTCGCGGTTTCTGAATGTTGACCACTGGTTGGAAAAGGTTCTTCACATGGAGCTTTTTATCATATCACACGATCTCCATTGCCTTTATGCTTCACATATTTTGTGTTTTTAACAAATCACTGCAGAGGCAAAGTATTTATACAACACATTTTCAAACACAAAGCCAACTCAAAAATGGCTAAAATGTTAAAATACATACACTGTAATGCAAATTAGATTAAAACTTTACATGCAAATTAAAAGCAACAATCACATGACAGCACAAAGTAGCAACATGCAGGTGTGGAGACCTCGTCTGGCAGAATCCAAGACTGTGGATTCTCATTACACCCTCTTCCCAAGACTCGGCTGGTTTAGTTACGTTTTCAGGGTCAGATGATGAATGTGCTGCTTTCAAGTCTCAAAGTCAGTAGGTCAAGGTTCACGTCCTTATGTTTGACTAGTACAGGAAACGCTGATTTAGAAGACTTACTGGTTGGACATATTTATCCATGGTTGCTGTGATCCAAGACTCTGCTGTTTGATCACATCCAGATATGAAAGATACTGGACTTGCCTTGCATCCTTTTGTTACTGTGTTGGGTAACACTGAGAGGGGGGGCCAGTGGCAGGAAAAGTGGACGAGCGAGAGGAGGGTGTCGGGATTGTGAAGGGACAAGAAGGAAGATATATTTTAATCTAATCTTAGCTGTGTAATTTGTACGACATGTTGGTGCACTGTGTTTACTCAGATTTGGGGAGAACACATCAGCGAAACACACCGCTACACTGGGAGACATGTTTCTTTATTACGAAACAGGAGACCAGTGTTTATGTTGCTTCAAAAGCTTTAAACGAGCACAGCTTTTTGCAGCGTCTGAACGTACATCTCTGGTTTGAAGTAGAGCAAGACTTAATGCACATACACGAGATCTCCGTGAAAGCACGACAAGCTAGCAGGCTGTAAACAAGGAACATGTCACCCAGTGCAGCGGTGTGCACGTTTTGCAGTAAGTGCTAAATAATTGATAACTCCCCTCAAACATATTAAAACTAAAAGTAACGAGCCCGAGTTGAAAATGTAAACAGGAGAAAGTACAGATATTTTTGTTAAAAAAATTTGTCAGAAAAATAAATACTTAAGTACAGTAATGGAGTATTTGTACTTCATTACTTCCTACCTCTGGACAATTATAGCTGCTGATCTTTGTGAAGGACTAAACCCTGAAGAGTTTGCAGTTTACAGGGTGCGAGCGTTTGGGTGGAGTATCACTTTAACATCCAGCACAGGTTTCCACACATGCACTTGCCCTGAATTAGCACAATGGAGAGTTACATCAGATCCTGTGTAGCCTTAGAAAAGCTGAGACCACTTCACTGTGGGTATTCACTGGGGCTGAATGTGTTCGTCCCTCACACACACTGCACAGAAAATGAAAAGACCGTGAGAGAATTCAGGATAATGTGTTTGGTTGGAGCAGCTCCACAGTACAAAGTTTATTTTGTTGTGCAAATAAAAATGTGTATTTGCAGTGGAAAAGCTCTGAGCTGTATTTACACTGATGTGACGTCACCGGCCAGAGTTTTGCCTCAAACTAATATTTGGCTGAATAGTTGTATTTTTGATTGATTTGGAGACTCATGGTTTATTATTTGGATCAATGAAAATTGATCTGACCATTAACCAAGTGTACATTGTGTTATTGGATTTCTGTTAGTGATGCATTAGTCTGTTGGCTGGTCAGAGTGCAGCTTTAACTACTTTATATACTGTTTGGTAAATTATATAAACTGATTATATTTTCATGTAACAATCTGTCAAGTTACCAGTAATTGAGGCAGTTACATACAGTAATTATTGTTCTCTGCTGGTGTCGAACATCAACCTGTGACTCAGCACAGCTGTTGTTCTGCTCTGCCACAGGTGACGGACAACTTCGACCTTCAGGACTTCAATAAAATGTGCTGGACTTTGTGCTTCAAAAAAAACTTGGGGCAGAATCACCTGTTCATCTCCAACGACGACGCCTTCAAGGTCTGGTGCATCTTCAACTTCCTGTCTGAGGACAGATACCCGCTGGTTATCGTCACTGAGGAGGTGAGTGTTTGCAGAGAGCTCCACACTGGGGCTCATTTAACACATCTAGTAGGAGAACCATTTGGAATGCACAGTGTTCAGAAGGAATTTTGGACCGTTCTTCCTCACAGAGCTGCTTCGGCTCCAACATATTCACAGTATGTTTGGTGTGAACGGCTCTGGGAGCTCATTCCATGGTATCTCTGTCGGGTCGAGGTCTGGGCTCTGAGTGGACCACTCCACGTGGCAGATTGTCTTGTTTTGAAGCCTTTCTGTTATAGATTTACTCTAATGTTTAGGGTCACTGTCCTGCTGCATCACCCAACTTCTACTGAGCCTCAGCTAATGGACAGTCACCCTGACGTTATCAGGTTAACTGCACCGTTCAGCATAAACCTGTCATTTTGCTGCTTTAACATCTACATTCACCAGAAACAGTCGATTAGACTTTGAAAAGCACCATCTGAAATGGATGCCTGCTAAAATGAGGGAAGTTACTGATGTTAACCATTTCCCAGGTGTCAACTTCCCACGTCGTGGGTCATGCAAACGTGCTGGTTTTCATTTCAGTTGCACGTGAACTGGGTTGTAGTTGCACCGCTGGCTTCTGTATGTGGTGCTTCATTCACAGGCCAGTTGAAAATGTTTGTTGCTCAAGAGCAGAAAAGGAAGTTTCCAGCTTCCTGTTCTTTTACCAACACTGGAAAATTTATTGTTGGTTTTAACAAACAGCAGAGCTGAATCACAGGAAGGTTATTTGCAAGAGAAATGTAAATGTATATGCCACATGCCAAGAGAAATGTAAATGTATATGCCACAGCCAGCCCATGTAGAAGGAATAATGGTAAAAATACAAGACGGTGCAATCATCTTTGCATGTTTTAAAGAAAAATCCCGTTGTTTTGTTTGTCAGATTCATATGATTGTGCTTGTGTTTCTCCATGCACAGATTGAGTACTTCCTGCGTAAACTGACGGAGGCGATGGGGGGCAGCTGGGTGGAGGAGCGTTTTGAGGACTACAAGCTGCAGCTGAATGCCAGGCAGCAGTCTCTGAGCGCGTGGGAGCTCATCAGTCTGGTGGGGTCGGGTCACTTCACTAAGGGCATGGAACGCCAGACGCTCTCCATGGGCATCAATGAGGTTTATCAGGAGCTCATCCTGGACGTGCTCAAACAGGTGGGCGGCACAGCTGCACACAGAGTCCTGTCCAGGTCCAGTTTTGAAAGCCAGCACCCGCAAAGCTCCGTATCAGACCCGACCTGTTACCTGGAGTTATTTCTAAATGGAATCTGGCCCTGACACGACCCGTTAACATGAGCCAAACCACACTCATAATTAAAATAGACTATAAGCTACATAGTCACTTTAAAGTGCTTGTGTTCACGGAAAAGTATCTGTCAGTGGACGCAGCGCCTGGGCTGTATAGCCGGTCCCTTAGTGAGGACGTGCCTAGCTCATGGCTATCAAACACTTTTTGGCACTATTTACCAGCAGCAAAGCCGCTGATATCTGTATTAGAGTAATTAACTACAATAAAAATAGGCAGTTTGACTAATTATGCTGCAATGCAACCAGTCCATGCAGGTGACACTGGCTCAGGTGCATATTCAGTGTAAGTTCTGTTAGCCAGGGAGTGAAAATGTGAAAAAGGAACCAGAAGTTAAACAGGCCAAGCTAGACGCAGTTATAAAGCCTGTAGCTGTAAATGATGACGTTAGTACAAGCCAGTCTGATGCTGAGGTCATGGATTTCAAAAGGACTGAAGCACTTGCAAATGTGTGGCTTCTAATGTGATTTATTGGTCGCTACAAACACACAACAAATAATGTTTTGCCTCTAAGCTGCTCCCTTAATGTGCAAACTATGCAATCACACCAGTCACCGAGGAAATTGCTTTCATTGCGGGACCTAAGTGATATTCCAGGACCTCATAATTTACACATTAAGCACTGGACAAACACGCTGTAGGTGAACTGTTAATAGAAATAATCCAATTTAAAACAGCCTTCTGTAATATAGATAAAATAAGGAAGTGAGAGTAGTCATGTTAAGCAGGGGTGTGTATCTTCATTTGAACACGTATGAATCTTTTACTGAGGTCATGCACAAAAAAGTAAAATTAAAACAATCGAGCAGTTGTTGGTTTAAATGAGCCTGATTCATGTCCTCCCTCCTCTCTGCAGGGCTACATGATGAAGAAAGGTCACAGGAGGAAGAACTGGACAGAGCGCTGGTTCATGCTGAAGCTACAGTCCATCTCCTATTACGTCGGCGAGGACCTGGCCGAAAAGAAAGGAGACATCCTGCTGGACGGAAACTGCACGGTGGAGGCAAGAACCTGTTGTGTTTATATGAACACAGAATATCAGGAATTTCATATGCATCTAATGCACAGATACAAACTGTATCATGGTCAATTAAATCGCATGTACAACAGATAAAACCCCAAAAGTCCCACGGATAAAACAAAATCTAAATAACTGAGCATTTCAGTTTTTATTTCATTGCTCTCGCAGCTGATAGAGAGCTCTGTAAAAGCTCGTAACATGACATTATTTTGTTAGAGACAGTAACGGTGGCCTACTCTTCATATTTGCACAAATATGTGTTTATCATGCTTTTTTTTTGCAGTCTTTACAAGATAAGGAGGGAAAGAAGTGTCTTTTCCTCATGAAGTCGTCACACAAAAGCTTTGAAATCAGCGCGTCAGACAAGAAGAAGAAGCAGGAGTGGATCCAAGGTGGGTAACAACTAAAAGTCACAGGACTCTCATCACTTGTGACTGATAACAGTTTTTACTGGTGTAAGCCCTAATGCAGTGTCTCACTCGTGCACTCCTACTGCTGCATATGCACTTTTGGACCATTTCTAAGAACAAAAAAAAAAAAAACCTTTTTGGTAAAGTTGCGTTTCAGTGATAGTGAGTGTTTTGGTGTTTTCTGTAAATGTGTCTTACAATAAATAGCTTTTCATTTGAGATGTGTCAGGTTCATATAAAGTACCCTGTTGATCTGGGAAGAGTGAGACAAGAATGATAAAATAGGAACTAAAATGACGTAAAAAGAAAATTCTTGTTCTACTTTGTAGGTTTTACACTTTTAAACACTCTACAAAACTAGCAATACTATGAAAAGTATTGTGATGATAATTTTGACCAAGCAATAAGTAATAATTAGAAATAAAAGCCCAGGTTCTTCTTCTTCATTACAAATTCCTCTTAGGATACAAACTAGGGCTGCAGCTAACAGTCATTTTTTATTATTGGTTAATCTGTCAATTCATTTCTCAGTTAACTGTTTATTCTATCAGCATGTCAGAAAATAGTGCAATAGGCACTTTAGCTAAAGCCTCGGGTTCACTACAAATTATTTTTATCTGCAAAATTAACGACACATTTGTTAGAAATCTGCATCGATGAAGTTCAGTGTCGACTACGATCCTCCATCTTGTGGCTTGGTCTTGTAGACAAAATATAATTTAAAGATCTTTATCGTTTCAGTTCATATTGGGTTCATATGTTGAAGCATGTCTAATGAAATTGCTTTTATTCTTATTGTGTATGAAGTCATTAATACACAGACAACCTGGGGAAAAATGGTGTTATTCCATCCCAAGAGAACAATGAGGCTGAAACCAACATTTAATATAATGCATCTGATTATTTTCTTTATCAATCAAAAAATGCTACAAAGCAGTGAAAAACAACATATTAACATATTTATATCAATTGTTTTAATTGACCAACAGCCAAAAACTGAACAATATTGAGTTTGCTGTTATAGAAAACAGGAAAAAATTCCAAATGTTCACATTTAGTAGCTGGTACCAGAGGAGAGACTTGCACAGATAATTATCAAAGTTGCTACCAGCTAATTTTGTGTAAAGCGATTCCTTTCAGCTCTAGATACCTGGGTGCCTGAGGAAATAATGAAGCTGACATGTACAGTGGGGGGTCAGTGGAGATTAATCCAGCCATAGACTGACTAGTCTGTTAATCGACCAGTCATTTGAGCAAAGGCTGTTAAACAAGTTATTTTTTGTTATTGATGACTAATCCGATTCATCTTGAGAGTTTTACTTCTGTGACCAAAGCTCTCAGCTTTGAATGAAATCTCAACATGACCTTTACGTTTCCTCCGTGTGTCCTCTCAGCCATCCAGACCTGTGTGAGTCTGCTGCGTCAGGGCCGGCCAGCGCCGCACCGTGAGTCTCGGCAGAAGCGACGGGAGCTGCGACTGAAGCAGCAGGCTGAACAAGAGGAGCTGGAGCTGAGGATGAGGGAGCTGCAGATAGCCAACGAGGCCAAACAGCTGGAGCTGGAGAACATGAGGAAGGTGAGGGGAAAACGTAGGCAGATAAACAGCGTTCTCCTGTGAATCCAGGAAACGTCTGGTGCGTTATCGGTTCTGAATTTAACACGGCTCGGTGTGGAAGTGTTTCCGTTACGTGGAGGGCAAAGTCAGACTTGTCAGCGTAATGTGAGTGTGCAACCCAGGTGTGAATCATTAGACGGGTTTGCCCTTAGTTCAGTCTGGTTATCAGAGTTTCCTCTACCTGGTCTGCATCGGCTCCTGAAGCTGAGGGCCAAAAAAATAAATCTATAATTTGTTTATTAAAATGTAAATGAGACTAAGTGACCACTTTATTAACACGTTGGCTCAACTTTCTTATGCCTCTGTGCTGGTTGTCTGTCCGTCTGGCACATTCTCATAAACGCGATCTCTCAGAAACATCTAGGGGGGATTTGTTTCAAATTTGGCACAAATATCCGCTTAGATTCAAGGATGAACTTGTTGCATGTTGGAGATCAAAGGTCACCGCAACCTTACATCTGCCACATTCCTGTGAATTTGGCTGGTTGGCAGAGGCACACACCTGTGAAGCGGTAACTCTAATTATTCCGATAATGTTCCAATTTTTTTGATTTGATTTGATTTATTCATTCAAGCATGTAAAACAGTTGATATGTCAACACATGTAATTTCACCCATATCCAACAATAATAATCCAATATCAATTTGCTTATACCTAGTACATGCTTGAACGGAGTAGGAAGAAGTCAGACTTATCCAGTCCTACCCCATGACATCATTTTACAACTTTTAAATCCTAAGCAATATCTCTAGATAAATAATTATCCTCTAAACCACACAAGTAATATACTACAGAATTATTACAGAGTGTTAACATTCTACATAATTACATTCATAGTTAATTATCTTCTACGCCACACAAGTAGAAGATAATTTGTACTCGTGTTACATGCAACGTTGTAAAACAAGCGGGTGATGAATTCGCTCTGTTTGACTGTTACGCAGATAACTGAGACTAATAGCTTACAATGCCTTCGCTAACGTTACCGTATGTTTTGCTAATAAGCTAAGTAACGTGTTAGCAGGGAAGCTGATAAATCGGACAATGTGCATAGCTTCTTACCATAAATGTAAAACCGTATCCCTTGTTCAAAGGCGTAAAGTCACACAAAATATTCCTACGAATTAGTTTCTCCGAACGTCACCATTACAATTTTGTAGAGGATTAAACTGCAGAAAATAGATTAAACTATCGTCCTAACTATGGTCACACATAACGCGCGCCATTGTTTGAGTCGGATATGATGTTATGAGTATACGTACGCCACACTCATCTTCCCGTACTCTGATTGGTTTAAATGTTAAAAAAACGCAAACGTTTTCAACCAATAAGAGAACTGCATGAGTGCAAACCGCTGAAAATAACAACTAGCAATAGCCCGTCGTCCATCCATTATCGATACCGCTTATAATAGCCTTCATACTTTCAATAAAGCCTCAAATGCCTCCTCATTAAATGTCATTCAATAATATAAATATAGAATAATGCATATTCAAACATTTTTATTTTATTTGTGAAACGAGGGCCATTATTATCGCCCCATGTTACATTTTATTCAAATAATAATTCATTGTAAATTTGATACATAGTGCTCACAAAATGAATGCTTGATGAAATATGATGATGAAACTATAATCAAATTTCAGTGCAAATTCAAAGAGCATTTCTCGTCCAATATGATGCATTCGTGAACAATGAAACATCCTCTTAGAGATGAAAGTTAAGTTAAAATACCCAACAGCAGCCTATAGGTTAATGATCACACTTAAGATCCATGAAAGAACATAACAGGATATAGCAGTTTTGTTATGTGTACTGATATATTCCGTCTTGTGCTGGGCAACATGTTCCAGAAAGAAATAATGTCACAGTTGTGAATGTATTGGATGTAACAAGTTTAAAAATAAATTATTATATTAGATTATATTAATGAATATATATACAATGGCATAAACAATCAGGCTTTCATGATTAACAAAATGGTAAAGGAATAAGAATATGCCAAACACTGATATTTTTATTTTATACTGTAATACAAATAATGACATATCAAGCTGCATAGATGGCCTTGAGGTTTCCGTTTTGTGCCTTTCATAAGCACTTACCACCCTCTAAGCAAAACACATCTTTATTTAAAAAATACACTCTAGGCTCCCTGTGAGACACACTCTGGTTCAGAGTGCTAAAATAAAGCATATCATAGATAAATATTAGAAATCACAGTTTCCACATTGCATGGTTTGTGACTTGTTGGTATTGCCCATATGTTTTGTTTTTATGTGTTTCTAATTATAAAGCAAAGCAAACACCTACCAGAACTGTACAGGTTACAGAACATGACTGAGATGTTTAGGAATGTTTAAATTGGTTAAAGGAAGGGTGATATGTCCTTCAGGAGCCTGGAACTTCTGCTAGCTCTGGCTAGACATGTAAGTTGATGACTGGTAAGCTATTGTTTCACTGATAAGATCTTGAGCATTGAAGTTGTTCACCTT